TAATGATAAATATTAGTGCCAGCAATAGCGGTTAAACTAAATGTTATGAGTAAATTTTATTAATTAGAATTAAGAAGATAATAATATAAGTATTTATTTTTAATATAAATAATTTTTTATATGATGAAATATGTAATAAATTTTTAAGTATTGAGAATATTGAATATTTTTGAGATAATTAAGTTATAGGAAAAACTAGGATTAGATACCCTATTATTGTAAGGTAAAGTTAGAATAATTGAAAAATAAATGTGAATCATTAAATTTAAGTAATTTGGCGGTATTTCAAAGAGTTAGAGGAACTTGTTTTATAAATGATAATCCACGATAGGAGAATCTTAATATGAGTTTTATGTATTGTTGTTTAAAAATTATTTTGAGAGAATTATGATTGATAAATTTGAAGAAAAATAAAGATTTGAATTCAAATCAAAATGTAGAGTTGTTGTAGTGTAAGTAAGGATGAGTTACATTTTAATAAATAAAAAAGTATTTAAAAAATTTTAAGTATTTTGAATATATAGGATTTAATAGTAAATTTATTAAATTTATTAAGTTGAAAATTAAATGGAATATGTACAAATTGCCTGTCATTTTCATAAATAAATAGTTGAAAAAAGTCGTAACAAAGTAGATGTACAGGAATGTGTATTTAGGTGAAATAAATTATTAATGTTATTATAAATTGATGATGGATAAGATATAAATAAGTATGATATCGATTATAAGATGGTAGAGTTATTAGTTTATTATTAAGGAGATAGAGTATTGTTAGAAAATAGAGAGTTTGAAATAATGGCATATTTAATTGGGATTAATTGTGAATAAATAGAACAGTAATTTTAAGTGATTATTTAAATATAAGATGGAATTAGTAAGAAAGGTGAATAGGGAAGAGTTAGGAGAAATTAATAGGGGTTGAAAAAAATTAAATATTTTATAAATAATTTTTATGGAAGAGTTTATGTAAGTTTTAATTAATTAATTAAAGATGTATTAAATTTAATAAGTTTTATTAATAAGAATAAAGTAATTAAGTAAGTAATTATATTGGGAGTAATGTAAATGAATTTAGGTAAATATATAAAAAGTAATTTTGATTAAATTTTTTTTTTGTATCAGGATTTATTAAAATA